AATAAATGAATAAATAGGAATGTTTTGTTAATCTTATGTAGAAACCTGAGTTGGCCCATGTCAAATACGTTTCAATTTAATTTGCATATCAATTTACAGAGACCCAGCTTCTCATTGCTGACCCATTTCTGTGTTGTGATTTATTATAATTTGTAACCAGGCTTCTTGTAATTTCCCCAATGTTATCTATGAGTCTCTGTAATCTGTGCCAAATTAGGGAATCTGGCACACCATCAGAAGACAATATTACAACCCTATGGAATTGGCTGCTTCCCCTTCCAAACAAATGTGCACAATGAAGAAGCTTCAGCTCATTAGTCAAGTCATATTTTTAATTGTTATTAATTTATTGTGCAGCTGGAACCAAGCGTTTACGATGACCAAATAAAAAGTCACATGCACATTTTCTTCCTGGCTGCACCTTAATCCAAACAGACTTCTCTTGTTTTGGGTCAGTTAGAAATAGATTATACCTATTTGCCATTGGAGGGTTTTGGATACTGAGCTGCATTTTTAAAGCTGTGGTAACACAGCTCATTTTGATTTAGGTTGAAACTTTAACTAGACCACACCACACCTTGATTATTATTCTTTTTTTTTTTTTTTAACCATTAACAGTTGAACTTGCTGGTGAGATTTTGATCATTGTCCTACTGCAAGACTGACGTTGTGTGACAATATAGGGTTAGAAACTGATAGCTAAACATTTTCCTTCAGGATTTTCTGTAAGGCAGCAGAATGCCAGCAGGTTGTCAGCTGCCCCGTACCATCACACTACAAAACCATCAGTTTGTTCTTTTTCTAAAGAATTATACTAGTTTTATGCCAGATGCAATGGTTGTTAAAAGTCTCATGGATCATTGAGGTATAAGAGATGGACCTTCATGTTAATTTTACTCTTAAATGGCTTTGGTCTTAAAACGCTCCACTGATGTCATTTTGGTCCATGAATCATTAACCTTAGTTGAAGCAAGTGAGACCTTTAGTGCTTCAGATGTTTTGAGTTCTTAGTGATTTTCTTTATGAGTTCACCAAGCACAGTGGTAACTCCTGGGAAGGTTTGTTGATTGTGGTTTGTTGTTCCAAAGCTTTAGAAATAACCTTGTAGAGTAAATGGTTCCAGTTAGTTTTCCTCTCATCTCTTCTTGAATCCGTTTAACTCAGGACGTGATGTGATTATTTATTATGTCTTTAAGGTTTAGCTCAAGCAGGTTCTATTTAAATGATTTCTTAAATTTTAAGGCCTGCCTTGGATAGCTGGGGATTGGGACGACCAAAAGGATATGAAAAACTTCAAACAAAATAAACAAAACGTCCATTTTGTACTTTTTCTTTTTTTTTTTTTTGGAAAAGTAAAATAAAGATGCATTCACACCAGCTCTGTTTAGGCCGATATAATCAAACTCTGGGTCTTTTGCCTAAAACGTCCAGTTCCCTTTGGGGAGACGAGAAGACCTAATCGAACTCTCAAACCTAAGTATTGGTGCAGCTGAAATGAACTTTGGTGAAAGCAAGTTGTGGAGTCCAGCAGGAATAAGTATCCCACTACCGGTCAGCTGAAATGACGTCAGATCTTTAAAAAATATAGTGTTGGCAGTTCAGTATCGGGAAATAATTAATTTAAGCTTCCATAGTTAGATTTAAAAAAAAAACACATTCTTCTGGCTTTATGTGTGTTTTATGATTCAGGGCAGAATGGACATAGATGTTTAAACATCGCTGCAGGCTACTGGATGGTTTGTAGACTGTAGTCTGATAAAAACACTTAATGATAGAGGCATGCTGGTCAGAGAGAAATGTTTTCAGACTGGAATCTTGGAAATACAGTAATTTGTAGAGAAGATTAGAAAAATGTATTACCAACAAAGCTCCCACATTACATGTGTTCTTAATCAATAAAGCTAACCCTTCTGGGTCAATAACTATATCTTTACAGTTGTTGACATGGAGGAGGTGCATTGATCTCAAGTTTCCAGTCCAACACTGTGCAAAATTCAATTACACACAAACCACAGATCACCAACATTTACAGTGTCGGCTGCAATTATGGTAAATATTTGGTAAAAAAAAAAAAGCCTTAAATTATTTCATTATCTTCTTACAGAGGTGTAAAAAAAATTAAACATTAAATTCAGGACATTTCTTCTGTGGAGAAAATCAGCTTCATCACCTGTGGGACAATTGTTGGCATCTCCTGAGTCAGTGCTTTGTAAAGCCACTTTTGGCAACACCAACAACTTCAGGCTTTAAATTCATGCGGATTGGGCTGGAAGCCTGCCAAAATGCTCAAAAATACTCAGGTGTGATTCATGATAGTTTTAATGCTTTGATTGAAACCATCCGCTGAAGATCTGGCTCTTTCTTTAGGGTTGTTTACCAGCTTGAAGTTCTTCCCATTTGCCAACCAGCTTCCCAGTCAAAGTAAATCATCCTAAAAGCATTTTGCTGCCACTACTATGTTTCACTTTGGTAATTATGTGCTCAGGAAAATGTGCACAACAGTTTTCTGATTAACACGTTTTTGCAAAAGGTTAAACGTTTGTCCCGTCTGATCAGAAACCCGTCACCTGTCTGCTTTTTTGATTGATTCAGTAACTTCTGAAGTTTATTGGTGGCGTTTTCTTCAAGTATATCAGAGTAAAGGGAGTTGAATTGAATGCAAACTATATTTTTCAGCTTTTTATTTGCAAATAACAGGATCAATCTCCTTCGACCCTATGATTATGCTCTACTTTGTGTCTATGAAAACAAATTACAGCAAAATACATCCAAGTCTGTGGCTGCATTGTAGAAACATAAAGTTTAATAAGGCGACATTTAAGTCAGTTACAGACATCTGTAAAATTTATACTTTTTCCAAGTATAATGTGACCAGTTGAATATTTAAACCAAAAAATAATCATATTTATAAAAATTCAGCTCTTTTATGATTCCCGTCAGTCACGGATTGGAAGCTTAGCGATTCTGCTTCGACTGTTCTTCGAAGGCTGTACGCTTCCACATGTGAAGAGGCTTAAAGATCAAGCCCACTTGACACCCACCAGCCTCCTCCTGCACACTCCACTGGCCCTGCGAGAGAGGCAGTCTCCTGCTCCCTGAACGCTCTTAAATCATCCAGCCTGATAAAGACGGCTCGACTAAGCCTCGTTGGAATTTTAAAACCTCCGAGCTCGACCGTAAACACCCCGTGTGCTGCTTTTAGAGGTGGCCGTGGACTTTTTGCATGAGCTATTACTCCGGAGTCGGCCGCTAACTGGCCAGCTGCCTTGTTTCTCCTCAATTATGTCCAACCCTGAACCCTGCGATCTCCAGTTTAAAAACGGCAGCGACGGCTCTGCCTCGCGTGATTCCACGGCGCTGGCCCTGCTTAAAATGCCGCAACATCTTTTTATTAGCGGCCGCGGCAAACGGAGCACAGACAGAAAACCACTGCAGATTCTGAAACCAGGTGGAATAATGCGATAGGAAAAGAGGCGCAAATAAAAATAAAGCAAACATGACAATCTCTGCATGCAGCTGCCACCTTGTCTGCATGGGATTAATGAGAAATAAATAGTTGGAGTTTCACTTGCAACCTCCCCCGAAGGGATGTTATCTGTGTGACAGGCACGGCTTCATGTCGCTCTGAAATGTCAGACACTGGTGCTGTAGTCCATCCCTAATGACTCAAGACACCAGCACCTACCAAATGCATGTTCTTCCCCTAAGAGCACAAGGTTTGCAGCTGGCATGGTATAAAAGTAAGAAGCAGGGCGCTAGTTTCAGAGGAGAATCTAGGAAGCTGCACACAGACGCCCTCAAAGGAAAGCGGAGGCACAAATGAAAAGACTGGAGTCTTTTACATGTTTATGGCTGAGAGTGCAAGTCTTTAATGACACGACTCACTTCTTTAAGCCCAGTCAGTGCGGTTTGAATGTATGAGCAGGCAGAGGTATGAAGGGCTCTGCTAATTTTAGCTGCATGTGCGTGGTAAACCGGGACAAAGCGCCATCGCAGGGACGATAATGAGAGCTGTCGTGATCCGATCGAAACTAAGAGATGTAGTGTGGGTTTTGAGGAGCTTTAATCATTACAGTTTGTCAAGAATGGCGTGCATCGTGACTCGCTTCCTCCCGCTGGCTCGTCTTTCAATCAGGCCGATTTCAGGCGCCGCTGTTGGATGTCATTTCTGTCAGACTAAGCAGACCGGCTTGTCGCTCTAGTTAAGAGAAAGATGGATGAAGTTCTGTCAGGGGCTCAGAAATGTGCAAACTGAAGCTGTAAATCTTGAGGAAGTCATGTGACGTGTTCTCCAAACACTCCAGCGTGATGATGTATCGCCCTGTGGGATTCATAGAGGGGTGAGAGAATTGGAAACATAATGCGCCTGTATCAAAATGAGTGGCAGGGTGACCTAGTCATTAGGAGCGCCAGGAAAGGGATTTGGCACTGCCTGTGAATCTTTTGTCTTTAGGTGAGAAAGTAAAGGTGGCAATTATTTTTATTTAGGAGAGTAATTTAATGTCTGATCTCTGAGATTCACAGGAAATCACAGAGCACACGAAGGAACATGCTGGGACAGAGTTCGCAAAAGGCAGTCCTTTAATTTCTGTACCACATTTCAGCCGTATATCGTTATGCAGGGCTGTCCAACTCTAGTTGTCCTGCAGTCTCTGTATGTCTCCCTGCTGTAGCACATCTGAATCAGAAGGCTGCATCGCTGCCTCAGCATGCTGTGATGTTCCACAGAGTCCTGCTAATGACCTAATTATTTGACTCCGGGGTGTTGAAGCAGCAGCACATCCACAAGTTGCAGGACATTGACTTTAAAGCACGGGAGTTTGACATCCGTCCTGTACTGCATTGATGCCACTTATTGTGGAGCAATGCTCACCTTAAAGTCCTCCTGAACACCAGCAATTCCACCATCGACAAAAGTTATGGGGTTAACAGACCTAAAAGCATATAGACCTTATATGCTCTATGAAACCTTCATTAAATGCCAAGAGCAGAAAAGAAACTAGCAAGCAACTGACCTGATTTTATTTCTAACAGCAGTCTGAAGTGAGCTGATATTTAACCTTGACTAACATGAAGACATTAAATGTACATTATCCTGATTACAAATCCCACATAAGCAGAAAAAATAATAAATTACAAAATTCAAACACAACTTCACTTGATTCAATGTTAATAAATTGTTGTCTAGAGGGAAGACTACGCTTTTAAAGGAGGTATAGGAACACTTTCTGGATGCTGGTTTAAGAGGCCAAGAAAGTAAGGAGTTCGCTTTCGCTGCGACTCAGAGGTTTTGATACTGGAGTAAACAAGGTCAAACACTGTCAGGGAGAGCTTACAGCTTATTTTACACACACATGGCTTACACACATACTGAGATACATGAGGATGTACTTTTCAGAACAGTCGATATTGATAATATAATACGCCATCCATGATCTAATTGGAGAAGAAAAAAGCAAGTCCACCTCTGACTGACTCAAGAAAACAACAACAAAAAAAGTAAGATTTGGAAGCAGCCTAGTCAAAGTTTGAACTTAAACTATGTGAGGAAATGCTTCAGCAAGACAGGCTGTTCATGCTCAACATTCTCTAATATGGCTGAATTAAAACAATTGCACAAAGACGAATGAGACAAAAACGTTAAAACACTTATTACCGCTAAGGATGGCAGAAAAAATTATTTTATACATTTACATGTGGCCAGGCTGATGATTTATAGCTAAACAATCATTTCAAACGGTTATCCTGAAATATTTTTGAATCTGACCAACTGTAGTGCTTCACCTGTTTCAGCATATTTAACCATGATTATAAACTAACATGCTGCTATCGCCACATGTCCCTCCATGACTCACAGCGTCAACCAATGACAGGTGAAGTAAACAACATTGATTGCTGTTTACTTCACCTGTCAGCAGTGACTGTGCAATGCTCTGCAGAAACCATGTGTTCTGGCATATAATGTTGACAGCCACACTTATCTAAACAATACACATCCAAGCACAGGAGAGTAGCAGCGGCTCGCTAAGCAGGACTCTGTGGTCTGTTACAGAAGCTGTTCTGTTTTTCTTTATGTGGACGTCTTTTCAAAGCACAATCAAAATATTCATAAATGCCAGGCTGCCAGGTGTTATTGACAAAAATATAGAAGTTGCTCGCATGACATTGTTATATGCCTCATGAAGTAAAAAGTTCATGTTCTGACAGGAACATTCAGAGTTTCTGACATTTATTTTAACCGAGTCCTGGAGCTGTGGTAGTTCCAACCCACTCATATTGTATCTTTATTTCAGAAAACTTAAACTTTTGTTGGTCAAGGACGGCGAATTTGATCATTTATGAACAGCCAAAGGCACTTTAAAGAGTCTAGTTTGTGTTTATGGCTTTATTATTATTCCGTTTTGTGAAAGACACTAATGACCCGACCAAAAACCTTTGAAAACCTGAATACGTTTAGGTACTTGTACAAAGTGCATTATCAAGTTTGAGCCAATAATTTCTACTATAAAAAGAAAAGCCTAAATGTTCTTAAGCACACATCTATTGAACAATTAGTGAATCAGTTAGGATTAATTCAGCTCTACCAAGTATTATTTTTAGTAGCATTACTGTTTTTGCATCAGCATATCTTATGTTTTAACACAGGAGGAAATTTATCCTCACTGATGTCAACTCTTCATGCATCAAACTGACATCCAGACTTTCTTCTGAGGCTTCCGAAACACTGGCTCATTTTGTTTAAGTAAAACTGACAGACATCTAAAGCTTTAAACATACGATATAAATAAGCAGCCTATTTTTGGAGCCCGGCAACCTCACATCACTCCTGTGTGCCCTCAAATGCGATTTACTTTTGAAATCCAGAGTGTTTCTTTTGAGAAACGTAGAAGGCGCAACGTTCGGCGTGTAGGATGGTGAATTCCAGACGTCCTCTCATGAACAAAGTAGAGAGACATCAGTGCTCTTTTGCTTCTTTTTTCTCTACAGTTTTCTTTCTTCTGGTGTTGAGATGGCACAGTGATTATGCTGGAATCAAAAAAAAAAGACGGGAGTTTTAATGTGAATGGCATTTTAGTGGCACTTTGTGATAACGCACACTTGAAATGTAAAAGACTCGACGAGCTGTTTTCCTCTCAAGTGTATTTTCTACTCTTGAAGTCATTTCGAGTGTTTATCCCCCCCCGACGAAAGGCACCGTTCACTGGTAGTCTTGAATTAATGCATCTCTAATGTATCTGCCAGTTAAGTGTGCTGCTATTAGTCTTTCAAAGTGACATTCAGCTGAACATCTTATGTGATCAGCAACGCTCTGAACCTGAGCATGGACTCCATGTTAAATAGCCTCTATTATAGTTACTGCATGTCTCTTCTGTAAGAACAATTTAAATTTTAAAATTTAATGACAACAAAACAGCAGCTAATATCAAGCCATGAATACTTGATACTTAGCTGCTTATTTTAAAAGTTCAAATACTAAATTTACCTTAATATGCATTAATACACACAGTGGAAACCGTCTTAGCGCTGCCGCAGGAGCATCTTCTGTATATGAAGTATTTAAAAGTTAACTTAAAGCTCGTCTTATCAATGACGGTAGTTTGGCTACAACAGAACAATTTTCCTAATCAATGGAAAAATTCTCGAGAGGTGATGATGCAGTGGCCAAAGTTCAGACTTTGACATGAGTGAAATGCTGCTCCGGCACAATAACTGAGCTGTGCTGAAATGTCCTAAAGCCATACTGTACAGAACACTGGGTCAAATGTCAGAGTGGTGGGAAAGACTAACAAGGGCACAACCACTTCTAAATATTTCTATCTGGTTGCAAAACCTATTAAAAATGGAATGTATTTAATTTTGCAATTAAGCGCCAATACATTCACTACAATATCGACAGTTAAGGAAACTATCTTTGCTCCATAGCTGTTTGTGTTGAGGATACGAGTGAATCTCCAACTCTGGGGCACAGATTTATGCATGGGTGATTCTTATAAAAGATGACAGCTTCTACCAAATGCACTTTTTATACAGAACACTTTCCTTAAGGAAAATATGTCAGACATGCCGGGGATTTTTAGACATGCAGAAGAAATGCACTGCCAGAAATCTCACATTTCATCAGCCTGGGGTGTCTGTATCAAATTCCTCCTCTGTGCTGAAGGACCAGCAGATCCAAGCCGGGCAAAAAGTGCATTTTAAATCGTTCTCTTGTCACATGTCTGGAAAATGCCGACTCCTTGCGCGTTTGGTGTGGCTGCAATAAATACCGGAAGCCAAAACATTTTCCAGACAAACTAATAAATATTTGTACAGGCTGCATGTTTTGCTTCTCTTGCAAATTTGTCAGTATTTCAATTGCAGCCTGGATGCTGTTGTCATCATGTCTCCAGGCGATAAATCCTCCGTTTCTCCACTAATGAACCCCGGAGTTGACCATTTGACTCCGAGATTGTCAAACTCACTTTCTTTTCCAAACAAGACTTCTGCAGCTCGTTTACTCTGCCGTAATCCCTCCGGCTGCAGCGTGTGCTCCTTGGCCTGAGAAACTGGTGTATTATCATTTCTCCTCAGACTGTCGACCGGCTTTGCTGTCCAGTCGGAGCAGGATCCCCCACCCCCACAGCGCTCAGAGTAATGCCGATAATGAGTGCTAGGAGGCTCTGTAGCATGGATCAATGTTCCGAGCTGTGTGTCAGAGAAGAAGCAGCTGCCCTGGTACGACCGGCTGCCGACCTGAACACACAGCAGCCCTGCTGACACCAGACCTTCTGGGTAACCCCTGGGGCCTGCAGGTGAAGATGTTTCTGTAATCACCTGTTATCTTCCTCACAGCAGCACCTGAGCCTCTGATGCAGCTCCGTACAGGTGCAACAAAAATATTGTGCTTTTTCCACACATAAGATCTTTGGTCTATTTACAGGTCGTTATGTCAATGTACGTTCCAGTGGTGCTGTTCACTCTAATTTGGGGATGATTATCCAATCATCTTCAAAACGGGTTAAATGACCAGTTGAAACTAAATCAGTTTCAGGTTAGATAACAAGGAGTCACACAGTCCAGACATTTTGAATGCAATTATAACACAAGTGGGTAAAAACACAGCTAATTATGGTTTATCATAAAAAAAAAAATAAAAAAAAAAAAAAAAACTTTGCATGAACATGTCTGGAGGAATAGATTAGGTAGAAGCATCTATGGAGAGGACAACTAAAGGCTAAGATCACAAAGACGGCAAAGCCAACCCACATCTGACAGTTTTTGCCCATATCCAACTTTTTCATGGCAGTCTGAACAGCCCAGTTCTAATATTTTCACCCAACAGCACCACTTCTACGGTGTACTAAAAATCAGATGCGAGTCCAATTGTTTTCACAGCACATGCAATAAGAACAATGTCAGATTTTAATGTCATAATTATGCACAAGAAAAAAAATCCAGACATAAACATTGGCTTAAGTTAGCAGTGAATATTATGAAAATAAACTATGAAAGAAGTCCGTCAGTGAAGCGCATTACATCGCACTCATACCAGATAATCAGAAGGTGTGATGGTTTGAGTTTAAGAACCTGATTATTGGCTGTGAAAGTATTCAGTGTAAGCAAACAGGGTCAACTTTGCATGTTAACATATTAATACAGTCCAACTGTGAATTTTTCAGTCTCCTGAAAAACATTCTTAAATCAAAAAGCAGAATATTAGCATCAGCTTATTTAAAAAGAAAACAAACAACAAAAACATCAATTCCACGTTTGAGTTTTAATCTTAAATCTGCCAGTCTTCATATTCTCTACGCTGTAAGGAAACAAAAGTGCACTTGGTCCAGTTCTCCTCGTGGTTGTGTGTCATTTGTTCTCCCAATACTTTACCCAACACGAACATATTACTTCAGACAAGATTAGAAGTGACAGAAAAGCACACGACACCTTCATGTAAAAACAGTCCTGTTGGAGCAGAGCTCGATTTCAGAGTGGATTTCAAGTCTTTAAGTGCCTCTCAGAGGGAGGTTGTGATTTCACTGCGTAACGCTGCTGAGTCATGAAGCATATCAGCAGAGTGGGTGGGTATGAGCTTCACGAGTGGACTCTGGCATGGAAATGATGAGCGCCAGTGAAAGAGGCGTGAAACCTTTTGTGGGGGATAATGATGCCGTCGGGTCACCTTCCTTCAGAACATCTGTTTAAGTGTGTAATTGTTCTTAAACGTTTCGTGACGTCTGCATTGACAGATTCGTAACTCCATTATGACAGATATTGGTGTGCTGCAGATGGAGGGTTACAGAGTCTTTTCAGGCTGGCTATAACAGGTATTAATGAGAATTTAACACAAAAGCATAAAAGTATTTTAGTATCAGGCATCATAGCTTAAAGCTAAGTACCCAAACAGATTTTTGGAGCTTAAGTTGTATGCCAAGGGTCAAAGATTTTGAGTTTTCTTCCTCACAGTGGAAGTTCTGAGCCATCCTCCTGGCTGAACTGGTGTTACTGAGTCGGGTTTGTAGGCCACCTAATTCACACACACCATTTCAGCTCGGCTCCAGTAATTTCCTATGGGACTGAGATCAGGGTTTTGTTGTGGCCACATCCAGAACTTTGCCGTTGTTGTCTTTAAGCCACTGTGCAACTAATTTGATTAGAGTCACCGTCTCCTGATGACTGGACATGCAGCTGGAGCATTTTGACATAATGTTTTTCCACACGATACCACTACTGTGAAGTGCATCAGTCTCTTGTGCAGCTAAACACACACACACACACACACACACACACACACACACACACACACACACACACACACAACATATCCCTGCCACCCCCATACTTCACAGTTTGGATTATGTTTCCAGGCTTAGTTTGGCACTGCTGACTTTTGTTCTCTGGTTGAAACACACATTTCGCACCAAAACTTGTTTAACTCTGGGGCACAGAACTCCCTCTTGATTTCGCTTAGCGAGTTTCATTTTGATGGACTAACCTCATATCTTGCATTGACCTCAGGCTTCCTTCTTACCTGCATTTGGGTCCAACAGTCACCACTCTTGACAAAAGAAAAATCATAAACCATGCTGATATTAAGCACAAGGTCCACTAGAAGGTTTGCACTTCAATTCCAGCTTTCAACATTTCCAGTTATTGTTGTTCAAAACACAGGACCTCACGCCGACTCCATGACTCCAATGTTTTCCAGAAATAATGCCCCCCCAAAAACAGCTTCCCATTTCACATTTATACTGTGCACAACCCAAATCTATGTTCACAATGCAACAAAGAGGTAATCATTACCCTTATTATCTGCCTCAAAATTATAAAATTGCTTAATTACGGATAATGATATAAAAATGGTGCCATTACCTTACATTCATTATTTGTCCAGGAGAAAATTAGCAAAATCACTGATGAGATTTGGGCAACAGAAAATTTAACAAGCTGGCAACTTACCATAAAGTACGCTGCAGAAACAGTCTGATCCATTAAACCCTTTTACATTTTGTCATCATACAAACACAAATGTCAATATCTTTTATGATGATTTATTGTCATGATTCCCTGGACTTTCTGAATATTTGTGCTTTATTTTGGATCTTGTATTTTAAGTTATTCCTGTATTTTCTAAGTTTGGTTCTGTTTACATTGTGTTGATTGATCTCCTTTTACTCCATGCTTCTGTGCTCTCATTAGACGAATCTCCACAGGTCCTCTGCCTTGCTCCCAACTCACAAAACATTTATCCTGTTGATTCTGCTCGACTGGTTTCCATGGCACAGTTACATCTCCACTGTACTTAAAGCCCTTGATTTCTTGCTCTCACTGTTTTACTGTTACAACCTCCATGGTTCTTATGGGTTTTTCATGTATTCACGTCCTTCGATTTCTTCATTAAAAAAATGTCCTGTTGCTATTAGGGTCCTCAACAAACTCCAAACAATGCATTTATTGCAAAACACATATAGTGTATGGTGGAAAGTAAAAGGAAAATACCTGGCCTTCTCGTTGTTACAAATAAAAGTCTGAACATGTGTTGCAACAAATTACCTTCAGAAATCACCTAAGTTGTAGAATAGAGTCCATCTATGTGTAATTTGTCTGTTTATATCCAGCTGTTCTGTGAATGTCTCAGGGTTTGTTTATTTAAAAAAAAAAAAAGATGAGGTTAATAATCAATAATAAATACACCAACGTTTAAAGATGTTCAGGGGCATCTTTCAGTCCACCATCCAAAAATCCACAATAATCCATCAGGAACAGGGACATTTTCCAGAGTTGATGGGAAGATGAATGGAGCTAAATGCAGAATAATAAAGAAGACGACGTGTTAACGGCTGAGCAGAGGTTAATCTCTGACAGAGAGTGGAATGGTTTAGATCAGGGGTGTCAAACTCATTCTCATTTTGGGCCACTTCAGGATTACAAATGTCCTCAAATGACCGGTTATAGAATATAACCGAATTAATACATTACTTAAGCAACAACTGTTATCTTGTTATATTTATGTGGACCACATAAAAACTCATGACAGGCTGGATTTGGCCACCGGGCCTTGAGTTTGACATATGTGGTTCAGATCAAAGCATATTATTTATAAAACTGTCATATTCAAACTCCAGACTCTTATATTTACATCTGCTAGAATGACCCACTCTATAATCTCACAATATCAGTACAATCTGAATCTTGTCTTTCGATGTCTTCTCAGTTGTTTTAGATTTTTCTTTTCAAAATTGAAACTCATGAACGTGATCTAAACGTCCATTCATGAGACGCAGCGTATCAAAAGTGTTCTCTCGTATTGTAAGCAGCCATGTTAGCTGACATTTCCCATCCATTGATTCCCATCATCGGTTCAACCTTTTGCAGGGCTTCACTCTGACCTACTCGGCTCCGCGGGGAGCTCCTGGGCCACTGAGGCTCGTGCAAAGCGGCCCCGCCATCGATCGGCCCCTGTGCCTAAAAATAAAGGCTGGGGCCGGCCAATGACAGAAACACAAGCAAAAAGCCTGTGTCTGCTAATCAATGGTGACCCAGAATCTTAAGTCCTGAATCGATACATCTTGCTTTTCTCGCATGATCTAATGATCTTCTGAGTGCTTCTGACACTCCTGAGGAGAGCAGAGACAAAATGTCAGCTGGGAAATTAGTTTCATTTCTTGTTTTGACTTCATCTTTGAATGCAGGGGATTGTTTTCCTTTTTTTTTCTTTATATTGAACCTAAAATCGTTATGAGTCATGCAAGTCTTCAATAATGTGTTCACTATGTTTTATGAACTTCAGCACACGTTTTGAAAAACTGATGTGACCTTTCTAAGCCAAGTTACATTTGACAGAGCAACTTTTTTATAAATTGGAGGTGTTGATGGCCTGCTGGTCATTCTCTGAGACATTCTGTCTTCATTGAAATCTCTTTATATTCCCTTTCACACATTTCCCTGCAGTCACTTTTCCCCTCTCCTGCTCCACCACTATCTTACAGAAGGAGCCATTCTTGCTTAAGGCTATGAGCTATCTTCTTATATTTCTCTCTGGTGGATATTTTATCTCGGCTTTCAAGTATCATTTCCATACAGAAATGGTGCATTTGTCCCATGGTGGGTTAGCCAGCTCTCTTCCTTTTCAAATGAGTTTGATGTTCAGGCAGCTTTTTAGATTGGAGATTGACAATCAGAGGTCTTCATTTCTAGGCAGAGAAAAGTCTAAACTAGTAATCTGGTTAAGGTCTATCTATTCACAAATTAAAGAATTAAAAAAAAAATACAAACTGTTTATTTAAC